AGAGTCACTACAAATCAAGATGGCTGCCACAGCTAATCAACACCTGCCAACAGATATATTGATGTTATTTTAACAAATATTGAGCTGTGGTAGTGACTGACAGTCCATCACAACAGATTTAGAGCAGCATCTAAACATATTGCACAAATTTAACAAAGTTGATGGATAAAAAAAAATAATTTAAAAACTTGTTGAAATGTTTCATCTTTTATCCAAAAGACTTCTTCAGTCTGAGGAGTTGCAACAAAACAGCACCTTCTCATAGTGGATCAACCAGTTTGTTGTTGACATCCAGAACCAGCTGTTCACGTGATCAAGAAGAACCATCAGCCTAATGACAGATCGTTAGTGCCATGATGGCCGCTTGCTATTCACAGGGGGCTGAGTGATACTAACAAGAACTTTGTCTTGACGCAACCACAAAGTTACACTCATCTCCAGGTCAGAGGTCACTCATTCAGGGATGAAGATGTTCACATCCTGGACAGAGAGGAACGTTGGTTTGAGAGAGGAGTAAAGGAGGCCATCTTTGTGAAGAGAAACCGTCCATCATTAAACAGGGGCGGAGCCTCCGTGTCCAACTGTCCCCCTCTTACAATGCTGTATCACTGAGCCCTCTGTGAATAGCAAGCGGCCATCATGGCACTAACGATCTGTCATTAGACTGATGGTCCTCCTTGATCATGTGAACAGCTGGTTCTGGTCAACAACAAACTGGTTGATCCACTATGAGAAGGTGCCGTTTTGTTGCAACTCCTCAGACTGAAGAAGTCCTTTGGATAAGACACGAGAAGTTTCAACAAGTTTTTACTTTTAATCCAGACCTTCACTTTGTAAGGTTTTGTGTGATATGTAGATGGACTGTCACGTTACTTTCACGGTTTGAACTCACGTCACCCAACGACAAGTTCATTAAAGATGATAACGTGACATGGCTGCAGGTGTAAAGTTTCTGACCCACGGTACCTGTTCTGGTGGAAGCTGGGCTCGGTTCGGACCCCAGGACCCGCTGCATCATGGCCTCCTTCTTAAACCTGCCGTCAAACGCCTGCAGCGCCATCAGGTCCCGGACGGTTCTGCCCCGGCTCATCCAGTCCTTGTTGTCCGGTAGGTCCGACAGGCTGTCCGGCCTGTGTTTACTCCCATGGAGCTCCCCGAGGACAGGCCCGGCCTGAGCCCCGGGCAGACCCACCGGACCCGGGCGGCCGGTCACCACAGGCCCCAGGCTGGGAGAAACGCTGCTAGTCCGGCGGTGGTTGGGGCTGTGACGGTTCAGCTCCGGGGGGTCGTTGGGTACGGGCAGTCCGTTAACCTGCCTGCCCGCCTGGTACTCCAGCCCCAACCGGGGCGGCCGCTCGGACAGCGGGTAGCGGTCCAGAGAAGGTCGGGAGCTCGAGTCCCCAGGCGAGTGGTGGAGCAGCTTCACGGCGTGGTGCTTCCCGGGGCCCAGAGAGCGGCCCTCCTGGAAACCGTGGACCCTCTTCAGCTGACGGGCCGTCTCAATGACGAACTCGATCCGGTCGGCTCCTTCGTAGTTGACGCACCCGCGACACACGGGCTCGGTGAAGTCCCAGATCATGGCCCACGGCATGCGGGGCAGGTCGCACAGATAACACGACTGCCTTCTGGAGGCAGCTGCGGAGGACATGTTGCAACCCCGGAGCGAGCGCAGAACTATCCAAAATGTCCGGCTGTCTGTTGACGTCGCGGGGAGAAAAGTAATCCAAACGGCGGAAACACCTCCAGCTATGTTCACCCTCTGAAAGAAACCGAATCACATTTAGAGAACATCCTCACAGCGCGTGAGCCGTGGCTGCGCCGTTACTCCGGTTCAACGGTTCATCTCTGAGTGCTGTGACGTCACAGTCACTCGCCCTGTTCCACTGAACTACAGAAACACTGGAATTGACCTTTTACATTT